AATTGCTACTAGTCAAAAAGTGCAAATGAATATTGTCCACTTTGGGGTGGTGGCACCTCATCACACAAGATGGTAGATCACTCAACAGGTGCGCATTTTTTTAAAATGGCAGATGAATAGCGAAGTGCATGGACAGTTGGCCTTGGTGTTTGGAGAACTGAGTTCAAATCACGCTTCTGCTCTTTAGTGGCTGTGCAAGCCTGGGCAAATCATTTCATCTCCATTTCCTCAGACAACTCTCTAGAACTCACCATTAAATCACACACGTTGGGATCTGAGTTGATTAAGAGACTTCCCACAGATGGGGTCCCTTAAGACAATGAGTTCTGAAACCATTGGTTCTTCAGCTACGTGCACATTTATATTTGTGGTTGAATCTGGGTGTGTCTGAAATTCTGGAAATTTATAAGAATACAAACAGAATGAAAAGGCATCTGCATCTGAGGGAGCTAGAGAATTTTCCACCTCTCTTACCCTTCCTCAGTGCTCAGGAGGATCATAGAATTTCAGGGGGACCTTAGGGAGCACTCAGAGGGTAGTAAATTCAGGGCAAAGCCCAACTGACTTCTTCTCTGGGGCTCTACCCTCCACACAGGGGCTGCCCTCCTTTAGTGCCCATTCTCGACTAGGAAAAGACAGCCTTCCTTCTCAGACCGATGCCAAGTACCAGCTTATGCAGAGCCAGGCCAGCCACTCACCTGTCTTGTTTTTGTGGCGCTTATCTTTCGAATGACATGGCAGGACCAGGCCTCCCCATCATCCTTTTCCTTTGGCAAAGACGATGATTATGGCTCTGGATTCAAAAGGGCTTTCCTTTAAGCTTTGTGGACAAGAAGCTCTATGCTTTGCAGTCACAATTCATGAACAACAACAATAACAAAAAGTGAAGTTTTTAATAGTGAGATTTGCTTTGTGTGAAATGTAACACAAATAATCTGTCTATGAATGAGGGGGAATGGTTTGCCCAGTGCCAGCTGAGTACACAAACTGAGAAACGTGCCAAAATGCCATGGTCGCAGGCTTAGCCAAGGCACCAGAGAGTAGGGCATCTTTGACATTGATACAATAGGTTGTTAATTCCCTTTCCTCTTCTTCGACTATGTTGAGTAGAAGACATAACGGTCCAACATTTTCAGAAAATGCCAAGCTTTGTTAGCTCTCACCGAATAAGGATGAAGTGATAAAAAGTGCACTGAATGTGCTACTCCAAGTTCTGAAAGAATTCGCATTTGCACATGTTTCAGAGGATCAGCAGCTCTGTAATCTAAGAGGCAGTTTGTTAGAGTCAATAGAGCATTGCACTTGGAGACATTAAGACCTGGGTTCAAGTCCTGACTCAGACACTCACTTGCTGCGAGATCCTTGGCAAGTCTCAGCTTCTATTTTCTCATCTGTAAAATGGGGATACTAATAGCACCTACATTCCAGAGTTGTTGCAAAGATCAAATAAGATGATGTATGTAGAGGACTTTTTATATCTGTAAAGTATTATATAAATATTAGTTCTTGTCATCATCACCACCACCAACATCATCATCATTATTGTTATTATCATCTCATTGCCTGGAGGCAATCCTTCCAAGGGCACACATCCCAACCCATCCAAGTACCATTTCATCCCATGTGACCCCTGTCCATGTCCTCTCATCAGTCTCTTGTAAAAGTTCTGCCCAACTTGCTGGTAGTCTTTAAACATTTTATGGGAACCCATACAGCACCCAGACTGTTTTCTACCTTGCTACAAACCAGCCTTCCCTTTTTCTTTTTTTTTTTTGGAAATTAAATGTTTTATTAACAACTTAATCTCAAATGTCAACATAAGCGTGTAGTCTCTTGCCACTAAAATTAACTGATTTCAACTCCTAAAGTAAAATAACTCTTTTTAAGGCTCTGAGATTCCCGTCAGGATGTCTACTTTGTCTACTCTTCTCTCATTCCCTTTCCCTCATATGATCATAGTTAGTGTACTCTCCATTCTTCTGTTTATGCTTTTTTTTTCCTTGCATTATCCCATAAAAGTCTTTCAAAATTTCTTTGTATGTGTCATAATTGCCTATCTTAATTGCATTATAGTATTCCATTACACTAATGTACCACAATTTACTTAACCACTCTGTGATTGTTGGATATTTCATTGCTTCCTCTTTCTTTCTTTCTTTCTTTCTTTCTTTCTTTCTTTCTTTCTTTCTTTCTTTCTTTCTTTCTTTCTTTCTTTCTTTCTTTTTTTTACAATTACTTGTAAAGTTTTTTGTATATCTATGTCCAAAATATTGGGATAATTAGCTCTAATTTTGTTTCTGATGAAACTTCCAGGATATATTCTCAACAAAAAGCAAAAAGCATGATTATCTTTGTAACTTTTCGTACATCCCGCTAGAATTCTCTTCTAATAGATTCTAGAAATTTGCAATTCCATTAACAGTGAATGAGTTTACCTTTTTGTCCATAGTCCCATGAGCCTTAAGTTTCATTGCTTTTATTTGTTCTTATCAACATAATGTGTGAGATGGGATCTCAATAGTTTTAATTTTTATCTCTTTGGTTATTGGTGAGGTTGCCTCATTTCCTTTTGCAGTCATACATTTCCTGGATGATGTCTTTTATGAAATGTCTTGGGCAGAAGTTAAAGTTGGTGATAGGTTGCACCCTATTTCTACCCACCAAACATCTCTCCACTACACTTTGGATCATAATCCATTTTGATTCTTCAGTCATGAGTGGCAGCCATATGGCACCACTGGAAGAATGTTGGTGAGAAACAGATGGAGTTTTGAGGCAGGGAACAGTTTGGGATACTTGAAAAAACTCCCCAGTTTCTCAAATGTGAGCTTGGCCATTCTCCTTCTGGCTAATTTTGGGTCCAGCTCACTGCCCATCTGCAATGTCTGTTCAAGATTCATGTACTGATGGATTTATGAATATGAATGAATGGGCTGCACATTAGGAAAAGAATAAAGGCTAAGGAGAGAAGACGGAAAAGGTTCGTTAGCAATAACTGCCAGTGCCCCATGTGCATACTCAGGAGGACATAAGTCTCCAGAGCAGGACCCACTGGATACTAAGAGAAGTGCCTGTGTTTATGGAAACCAAAATGGCTACATTGCAAGGAAAATGGCCAACATGAACGTTGGGCTATAAATCAGCTCCTTGCTTCAGCATTTGGTTTCTCTTCTATGTAAAAATTTAGACTGTGAGCTATACTCATTGTAATGACCAAAATTGCTCTCTCCAAGGTTACCAGCAATCTCTTGATTGCTAAATCCAAAGGCCCTTTCTCAGTTCTCATCTTTCTTTCTCATGCCCCACCCCCCACCCCCAACAAAGAAATCTTTTCTGTACAGAAAAACAAGCAAATCCTCATTGGTTCTGAGTGAGGCTGGACATCATGGACTATTTAAGGGTCGTAGGTCAGAGCCCACAGTCAGAGTAAGACCCAGAGGAATGGTTCCTATTGTGTGTGGGAGTGTAGGGGGCAAATCAGGCCCAGAACAGTGAGTTCTGGACCTTCCTTGGCCCTCTCCGTAGCCCCCACCTTCTTCCAGGCAGCATAAAGACTTAGGGAAGGGGTGGAGGGAAGCAATAGGAAAGGCATGAAAATACAGCTGTATCTCTTTTTTAAATTAAATTTTATTTTTACAATTAATAGAAATATATTTTCTTTCCCTCCCACCCCTCTCCCTATTGGGAAAAAATAAAAACAAAATCTTGATAACAAATATTCATAGTCAGCAAAGACAAATTTGTTCGTTTGCCATGGCCAAAAAATATATGTGTCTTTCTGCACCAAGTCCATCACCTCCCTGTCAGGGGTTGGGTAGTATGCTTTATTTATTGGTCCTCTGGAATTATGGATGATTGTTCCATGAATTATACGTCTTACAGCTTTCAAAGGTGTTTGTTTTTATAATATTGGTTTTGTAGTATAAATTGTATTTTTGGTTCTGCTCACTTCTCTCTATATCAGTTCATACAAGTCTTTCCATGTCTCTTTGAAATAACCTATTTCCTCATTTCTTATCACACACTAGTACCCCATCACATTAATATACCACAACTCATTTAGTTTTTTCTCAGTTTTTGAATATCTTAGTTTCCCCTTTTTTTCTACTACAAAAAGAGCTACTATAATTTTTTTTATAATACTATATAATTACAACACTATTATAAATGTTTTACAATCATTTCAGTCATGTACAACTCTTCATGACCCCATTTGGGATTTTTCTTGGCAAAGATACTGGAGTGGTTTGCCATTTTCCTCTCCAGCTCATTTTATAGATGAAGAAACTGAAGCAAAAAGGGTCACATAGCTAGTAAGTGTCTGAGTTCAGATTTGAACTCAGGAATTTAAGTCTTCCTGACTCCAGGCCTGGCACTTTATCTACTGTGCTACCGACCGCCCAATTACTGAAAATTTTTTTGTACATATAGGATCTTTTCTTCTGTTGAACAAATTTTTGTGGAAGTACAAATTGCTTTCCAGAATGGTAGGACCCACCAACATTATATCAACATGCCTTTTTTTTTCATAGCTTCTTCAGCATTTGTTTTTCTTGTTTTGGTCATCTTTTCCAATCTAATGATTGTGAGGTAGAACTTCAAAATTGTTTTAATTTGCATTTCTCATATTATTATGGTTTTGGAACATTTCCCCACGTAGCATGGGTTTCTTCCTTTGAGAACTGCCTATTTGTACCTGTAGATTATTTATCATTTGGGAGAGTAGCCCTTTTTTCTTATAAATTTGAATAGGTTCCTTATATATCTTGGAAATAAGACATTTACCAGAGAAATTTGATGAAAAGATTTCACCCCAATAAAGCTACGACTTTAGACTTAGACTTAGCTTTAGGATTTGTTCACACAAAACCTTTTCAATTTATGTAATCAAAAACATCCATTTTATCTTCTATGCTCTTCTCCATGCCTTAACTAGAAGCATATCTACCAAGTGGCACACAGAGCCTTGGAGTAATCAACACATTTATTTTTCCTATCAGACACCTACTCTCCAAACAGATATGGATACAGAAAGACAGTCACTCAAGGATAGACGTAGTTTCAAGGAGCAGAAGCTCTGGCAGCAGAGAAGAGAGCTGGCTTTGGACTCCAAAGAGAGATAGTCCTGGTAACCAAGACTTAAGCTTTGAGGAGGAGCAGACGCTGCGGGTCCAGGTGAGCAAGCTTCCCACTACAGATGCTTCGCGCTGGGGTAAGGACTCTTGGTGATGACTGCTCTGATAGAAGACACCGATGTCTCTTAGGTCCAGAGCTGTGAGTTAGTCTGGCCAAATTTTTGCCTCTTGGTTTTGTATTTCACCACCATTGTACTCACTCTTCTTGCCACATGTGCTCCAGGTTTATGGAGGCTACTGTGCAGCTGGTATTGTTACTATGCCATCTTAGTAAATGCCTTTGCTAATTGTGTCAGCTAATTGATTGGTATAATGGGGTGAATGTCACTGGGGGCTCTTGCTTGACAATTTTAGAAGGCAGGTGCCCTACCTTGAGGTTGAGGTAGAAGCTTCCCTCTTGGAAGGAACCCAGAGCTGGCACTACACTGAGAAGTTAAGATGAAAAACTGCAGAACAGATCCTTTTCTGAATTAGGAGAAAGTTTCTTTCCTGGTGCTTCCCTGTACCAATGCAGTCACAGGCAGATCTGGCAAATTTTTTTAAAAAATGACACACTGCTGTGTTACGGGTGATGGCCTCAGCTCTACCCATAGTAAACAATATGGTGATTGTCACCTAACACATGCTGGCTATTTGAAGGGGAATTTGGGTGGTAGAAAAACTTTCACCTCCCTCAGTTGCGAGCTATCACAAGCATAGGAATTAGTTTCTAAAAATGACCAAACAGGTCATGGGGTTGAGGAGTTGGCTTTCCATCATGAATAGAGCAGCTCCCCTCCCCATCCTTTTGATCCAGGGATAGTGTCCCTGAGAAATCATGAAGACTGGCTAAGAAAGCCAGTGTTTTGCTCACATGATGGGACCATGCTCCAAAATGACCTTTCTGACCTTCTAGTAAAGGAGGCAGAGCTGAACAAGACTGCTCCTAAAAAGGGGATGCCTCACTGGGAGCATGCCAGCTGGCTTCCCCCAGGTCCTGTGCAAAATTTACTTTAGAACTTTGCTCTTTTCATTTTTTCCAGGAATCCATGAGGCAGCAGTAGTCTCACCTGCTGAAAAATGGAGACTGGGGAGCTGGAAGAACCTCTCAGCCTCTCTGTGAATAGATGCAGAAAGAAGGCTGCTCTTTTGGTGACTGGAGGGGTGCTTTTCTTCTGCCTCCTCTCTCCTCTTTCTCTTTTTCTCCTCCCCTTCCATCTCTTTTCTCCTCTCTTTGATCTCTCATTTCCTTTCTCTCCTCCTATTTTCTATCTCTTTTCTCTTCTCTTTGATCTCTCCTTTCATCTCTCTCTTCTCTGTTCCCTGTCCCCTCTCCATTTACTCTTCTCTCCTTTCACTGCTATTAGTTGTGAAATCTACATATCCTCATGTTCAGTCAAGATCTATGGATCAAGGAAAAGTAATTGGGTAATGCCCAGAGTCCAAATCTATACATAATTGTACATTTATTATACTTGTGATTACTGTGAAGGATTCTATATTCATTACACAGTTTTTGAAGAGGTCATCATATAGCTTACATGTGTTTCATTTACACAAACTCAGTGTTCATCATTCAGCTAAGACTTCTATAGTCTGTGATCCCCGTTAAATACATCTCTCTTAAGAAATATTGAGCAAGTATTTAATGGGGCTCAACTTTGCAAGCTTGCAATGACCAGGGCCTAAAAAGGTCCCTGGCAGCCCAACCAATTGGAGGATACAGCAAACTCAAAAACTGATGAAAGTCGAGAGTCTCCTTTTCCTTCAGCAGGCTGCTTCAGTCCTGAAAATGATAGTGCCAAGAAAAGGGAAATTAAAGAGCCCACACACACATAGGCCTCTTCCGTGGATTTAATTTCAAAGACAGGAAGAGGATGGAAAAATTGCTCTAGAGCATCATGGAGGGTCTTTAGGAAGAGCCGAGCTGATTGCTCCAAGATTCCCATACCAGTGCTGAAAGAGACTGGTGCTTGTTCTGAGACCCCAAGCTGGGCCTGCAAACAGTAGGATTTGGAGGGGAAAGTGAATCTCCAGTCCTGACAGTGACCGCTCTTCAAATGACCTAATTCCAAAGACTTGCTGTTAAAGGGGCTGGAAGGTATTTGTGTATGTATGTGTAGGCATGAATATGTATATATGGGTGTGTATATAGATGTAGGTGGACTGTAGATGTGCATGTGTATATGTATGTGCACAAGTGTTTCTTGTGTGTGTGTATGCATGCATATGCAGGTTGTATGTGTGTATATACATGTGTGTAAACAAAAGTGAAAAACAGACATGGAATCATTTTTATACACTGTGAAAGAGAAATTTTAAACTCATTTTGGTGACCTCATTTACGACCATAAATGAAGGGCAAGGAGTCAAAAATTACTCTGACAAGTATTTATTGGGTTAGATTCACTTGGTTATAAATTCTTGTGATTCTAGAGAGCTGTTTGGATTTTTCCTTGAGAATCTTGGCTGACTTCTGGCTAATTGCAGGCCTCTACAATGCCATTCTTCTCTTTTTAACAATTTTCTCTCAGAAATTATCCTAATTATATCCAAATCATCACTTGTTTTTTCACAAAATAATGAGGTGAAGTGATCACTCTTAGGACTATAGCCTTATGTCAATACCTTAATGTCCCCATATAAGCGTCTGCCACGCCGAGGATATTTTTTAAGTTAGGTGATACCCAAAGTCCATATGCTCAACCCCTCCATTCCCTGCCCCCACTCCAGTTTAAAATTTTTAAAGGAAAATACTTTATAGAAACTCTTTGAAAATAAATCCACATAGAAAAGAAAGGAAGGGGCATTGTATACAAAGAAAAGATCCCAGGAGTCCATGGGTGCCAGAGAGAAAGAGAGTTGGGAGGTGGGGAAGCCCCCTGCCTGCTGGCTGCCTGCTGAAACACCAGGAAGACAAAAAAAGAAGGAAGGCCTCAGGGGCCAGTAAAGAATTCTCCTCCTCCTCCTCCTCCTCCTTCTCCTCCTCCTCTTTCTCCTTTTTCTTCTTCTTCCTTCTCCTCCTCTTTCTCTTCTTTTTCTTCCTCCTCTTCCTCATAACTAGCACTTATATAGGGCTTTGAAGTTTACAAAGTGTTTTACATGTTATTTCATTTTATCCTCACAAGAACCTTACTGAGGTAATGCTCTTATCATTCCCGTTGTACAGATAAAGAAGCTGAGGCACTAGGACTTGCCCAGGGCCACAGAGGTAGTAAGCATCTGAGGTAGGATTTGAACTCAGATCCTTCTGGATTCTAAGTTGGGCATTCTGTCCACTTCTTGGAAACATACATACATATATACATATACATATACATATACATATACATATACATATACATATACATATACATATACATATACATATACATATACATATACATATACATATACATATACATATACATATACATATACATATACATATACATATACATATACATATACATATACATATACATATACATATACATATACATATACATATACATATACATATACATTTACATATACATTTACATATATCTATGTGTTTGCATATAAAATTCTTCCTGAACATTCAAAAAGTGGCATTGACAGGTCTAGAGGAATGGATGGAAGGAGCTCCCATTGACTTCCAGACCGTTGCTTCAGATGGGGGAGCACTGCCAGCCATTTAGTTGGGCAGTTTCAAGCATACCTGTCTCCAAGGCTAACTCGATCCCCCTCCAAATCCTCATCAGAGCTCTTGTCCTAGTTGCTGTATTAGAATCTCTAGCCCCTAAGTTAGCTGGCTGATGTTTCACCCAGATGACTTGGTTCCCAGAAGAACTATATTCAGTTGCAACCCCAGCAAACTGAGAACCAGGGTGACACACACCCTTGGACACGCCATGACTATTAGTCTGGGTCTGTCAGCTTGCGAAATGCTCCTTTCACCTGTTGAGCACGTATCACCTGGTTACCACTTGAACCTGGATGGAAAGAGAAGCTGAGTAATCTGCCAGTTTGATGTCACAGGTGAAGAACAAAATTGCCTTGTGGGATGGCAAAAAGGCAGCATTTCAGGAGATCAGTTGAAATAATTGATAGAAAAAAAAATCTCCACAAATGGTAAGAACACCACATGAAAATCCAGTTGTATTATTTATCCTTTAAGGTCCTAGGGACCAAGTCTTTAGCAGCATGCCTGGCTCCCTGTTGCTGCTGTGATATTTAAATCAGTAAGATTCCTCTGGAAAGCTGCTGCTTTCATACCACCCTGCCCCGTTTCTCTTTGCACAGCTATTTTTCTGCTTTTACTTGGAGGGGTTTTCTTTGGGGGGAGGGGAGGTGGGAGACTGTGTGCACCGAACTGAGGGATGGGGGCAGAAAGAGCGAGAGCATAGCACTGTACAGTAAAGTTAACATCGGTGTTTCTTTCTTTTTTTTTTTTTTTGGAATGTGGATTTCTTTCAGAATTCTTCATGCAAAGTCAAATGAATCTGTATTGCAAATATACGTAAAACAAGAACTGTCTGTAATACATGCAAAGCATTGTCTAATTGTCAGCTAATACTATTAAAGTAATAGGAGATATGTTTAAACTCACACTTGTTCTTGGCATCATTTTTATCGTTGTTTCTTGGGGGGGAAAGGAAGGGGCCAAAGTGGTATAGTAAAGGGGAAAGAGTGTGGGACCTGATTGTATAATCTCAGTGGCATGTAATGTCAACTCTGGCAACTCACATAAGACTTGCAGAAATTTGTCAGTTCCAAATATTCAAGTGGCTAGCACAGATTTTTCTTAATTTCCAAAGTACTTTAATCAACCATGAGAGGGACACTGAACACACTCATGTTTCAAGTATTTCAATTATATTCTGGTTAAGGAAAAAAAATTAGAAAAATTAATAATGTCACCATGGCCCCATTTGGGTTCTTACGACAGAAATCCTTGATCTTCCTCTCCATGAGCTGGCTAGCATCTTGGAGCTATGATGAGCCCCTTTGATCTAACCTCCCATTTCAACATCTGGGGTGATGTAGCCTCAAAGTGCAAATCTTGATAGAAAATTACAGAGAATGTGAAAAGTGGAAAGAGATTTCCTGCCTCTCATTTCCTTTCCGGCCACGTCCTTTGGTCTTAAATACAAAATGTCTGGCCTTTGGTTGAAATCTGCAAACACTTTCCAACTATTTACATGGGATATAGTAAATTATTTGGCTGCTCAAGATCATTTCCAGGACCAAGATTGGCCCTGCAAAAGAAGCCACTCTCTTAAGCAAGACAAATATGTGCACCCTTGCAATGTCCGTCTCCCAAAACTCTACCTGTAAGTACCTGTCATGAGCATGTCCTGTACCTTTAGATTAGATACATAACTAGCATTTATAGAGCATTTTGAGGTTTGCAAACTGTTTTACAAATATTATCTCATTGGATCCTCACAACAACTTTGGGAAGTAGGTGCTATTATTATCCTCATTTTACAGATGAGGAAACTGAGACAGGCAGAGATTAAATGACTTGCCCAAGGTCACACAGCTAGTAATTTTCTGAGGCAAGATTTGAACTCAGATCTTCCTGATTCCAGGTCTCACACTCTATCTACTCCACTGCAGAGATGCCATAATAAGCCTATAACCAGGTGAATTGCCAGCTTACAACCAGTAAATAAAGATTTATTCTGCCACAAGGAGGAAAGGACAAATCTGGTGTGAAAGTGTTTTAAAACTCCAGCAAGCATTTATCAAACACCTCTGTGTGCAAAGCACCAGGCTATACCCTACAGGGAGACAAAGCTTCGATAAAACATAGTCCCTGTCCTCATGGAGCTTACAGTCTAATAAAGAGATATGACACAAACACCAATATCCATGCAGTAGAGCATGACATGATAAATATCATGTGATCTCAAGGTGGAAGGACACTGAAGACTGTTTAGAGGGAGTGGGATTTGAATGGAGCTTTAAAGGATGGATAGAGGGGCAGAAGGCATTCCAGATACAGGGAACAGAGTCAGCAAATATACAATGGTGTGAGCTCATTATGGGTATTCAGGAGACAAAGAGGAATCTGATTCCTTGAAAGTGTAGCACAGAGGGGAGTATACCACATGAAATAAGGTTGGAAAGGTAAGGTGAGTTTGAGATTGTGAAGGGTCTTGAATACCAGGTAAGGGAGTTTGCATTTTACTGGGTAGAGAATGCGAAACTACTAAAGCATTAATCACTTCAAAAATGAAGAGAATG